TCGTTAGCAATTTAGATTTCTTGTTGATGTTATCCATGACAGTAATACGTACCGCGAAATGCCAGGCCTCTGAAAGTCCCCATCGTTGGTATTCGCCACGTTATTGGAAATTTTTATTTCAAATTTCGCGAAAATGGTTTATAACATCCCTGCAAGTTCGTCGTTCAAAACTGGTGCCGAATCAATGTTTTAGAGCCTCCCATCAGAGCCATTAATAATAATAATATTAATAATTTGCCGCAAATATAGTAGTAATATCTAATAATATTAATAATTAAAAAAAATACTTAGACCTACTCCCAGAGCTACTCATAGGAGCTAAAAACTAATTTATTTTAGTTCTCAAATATGCATATTCTTTATGTTGATTTATTAATTAAATTTTTGCTACAAGGTATTTAACAACATTTGTTTATTTATTTTTTTTTCTTTAATTTTATAATTGAGGGCCATTTTTTATTTCTTGATTCAATTCTTGCTTATACAGTATTTAAATATTTGAAGATTAAAAAAAATATATATCATTTCTATTACCGAATTTTTCATTGGGGCCATTTTTACCTACCTGTCATATGGGGCCATTTTTACCGGGGCCATTTTTTCTGGGGCCATTTTTTCCGGGGCCATTTTTTCTGGGGCCATTTTTTCCGGGGCCATTCTTACCTACACTCTACCCAATGGGAGTAGCATAGGGCGAACTTCTGCCACCATGGGTCGCAAACAGGGGTAAACAGATGCGGTACACTAGGGTACTTGTACAGACGTGATCTAGCAACAATATGAAATATTGGCCCTTATATTATATTATATTAACCCCTACGTTTACCAGATTATCACTTGAATTATTACGGTATCAACTTTTCCCTCTTGGTCTAATTGGGTTCTTTTATAACAGTGGTACGATGAATCTAATGTGTTGCCTATGCGTGAACTGGTGAGTTCAGAGGCGACGCCAGCGCCTGAAATCTGGGGAAGGGGTAAGGTAAGTGAGGGGAAAGTTAATGTAAAAATGTGTTAAATGCATTGTGTTTGAGTGGCCAGTGGGCTTGTTACGTTATTTTCATAATACCGCGTAAACGAATGGGTACGAAAATCAGGGAAAACTCACTCTAAAACAATAGATTCCAATGTAGGAAAATAAATCATTTGAAAATATGAAAAAAACAACGTATGGTAGGCTAATGATTTTCTATATATGCTTCGTTTATATGATAATAACAATAACAAAAATAACGAAGGCACTTTAAATAAGTTGTGGTTAGGTTATATCAGGAAAAAGCATCAGCACAACGTTACAGCAACGTTATCAGATAGAGATTAGTCTTTGTAATAAGTAAGGTAACAAAACCGTTTCGACACCAAATTAAAGTTATTATTACGTCAAATTGTTAGATAGTTTTGTGGTGATGATTATATAATACATTGTTAAACTTACTCGGTGTTGTCCATATGTCTTTATAACATGTGCTTCGATAATAAATACACTTTTGTGTATGTTCACACCAGATTTCGTTTGGGGCACAGTTCGCGTCTGTCAATAAAAACGTTTAAAATCCTTATCAATCAATCAATCAATCAACCAATCAATCAACTAACCAAACTTTACTGCAATACCATGGAGGTATAGCAATACTTATTGAATACAGGTCTCAATCCAATTAAAGACCACTTTAGGGACCAAGGTTGTCATGCCGTCTTTAGCAGTTTTGGTCTTAATTAGAAAATTAAACGACTGATGTTCATCCGAGGCCAGAAAAAAGGTGGTCTTTATTTAGAGGTTTTCTTTTATTTGAGGGCAAAGTCCTTAATTGGAGAGAGAACTTCAATGTTTTGTGTATACACATAGGTATTGTTTATGCTATAATAACACTGGTTTATGACATATTATTTTTTGTAGGCCTACATTTCAAGAAAGTACTGTGTACGCCAATCTGTATGTTCTTCATATTTTTACTAAATCAATGTCCAATACAATAATTATGGTGATACAAGCTAGTGGATATTTGAATACCGGTTATAAGTCTTGGCATAGAATAGAATAATATAGGGTGCCAGGATTTTCAAACAATGCGGGACAATGTCAGGGTGGACCCACTTTAATAATGTGAACCCATTTTCTTAAATGTTAACCCATTTTACGGAAAATATGAAAAATCTGGACCCATTTTCTTAAACTTTTAACCCATTTTAGGCTAAATATGAGAAATCTGGAACCACGTTTCAAAAAGTGGACTCATTTTATGCACAAAATTGCATAATTTGGACCCATTTTTAAAAATGTGGACCCATCATTTGTGGACCCATTAAAAAAAATGGTGTGGGACTGTCCCAACTCTCCCAATAGCTGGTTACGGCATTGTGTACCTTCCAATTCCAGACCACTTTGGGACCCAAAAATTTGGGGAGGTCTCGGGGTTCGGTCTTTACTTTGATTGTTAACTTTGTGTTAAAAGATTGACTATTGTTATTTGGTTCTTTGAAACGGTGGTGTCAAATTAGAGGGGCCAATTAGAGGGTCTCGAATTGGAAGGTGCATTGCATAATGTTTGGTGTGGCTGTAGGGCCTACTCTTACCGGCAGTAATTGATTTACAATTTAACAACCTAAATTAATAGCGTACAACCGTCGGCCGACGAATTCAACTCCACTCCCTGTAAGCGTTAGAGGATGCGACGATGCTGATTGTTGGTAACAACACAGAGTATAAATATTTATACTCTTTGGGCGTGTTTCTGCTGAATAACGCCCAAAACACGTGTTTTTTTTTTGTTTTTTTTTTTTATAAACGGTTAAATTCCTTCTGAACGCGTTTCTACTGAAAAGTGCAACTAATAAAAGCACGGTAATGCGAGCATTGGCAGGTGGGTGTAGCTTAAATGACGGTCACCAACGGAAGTTGAAGCTGACTTTACTTCTTACGAGGTACAGCGCATGCTGCGAAAGAAGTAAACAAGACAACACGAAAATACGAAAAAGTATGGTATGATCTTCAAGCATGTCACCCTATTGGTTTAATTTTTTTCTTTGCCCCGAATTTCCCGCAGACGGGATCAAACCAACGACGAGGTCAATTTGGGTCACCAACGGCTCATGAAAAACACAGTATTGCGTTGCAGCTGAAAAGTGAGCAAAAACACGTGTTTTCTGAACGCGAACCCTATAACAAATGCGTGTAAAAACACGCGTTTTTAGAACGCATTCCTAACCGTGGTTTTGTTTTGTGGCCCGTTTCTACTGGGAAAAAAAACACGTGTTTTTTAATAACCGTTTAAAAACACGTATTTTTTAGCTCAGCAGAAACAGGCCCTTTGGTGACAATCTGAACGGATCGCCATTAAAAACGATCCATTGCGCGCCCGTCGTGGCGTTGCGTTCTCCATAGAATAGCGCTTCTTGGCCAATGACAGTCGGGTGCAGTGAGTACCCGAGCTTACTAAATTTACCTTGATTGCGACAGTCACACCCCCATTCATCTTCACCGACAATGCAATCAGAATTACAATCGCATTTCCATCGTCTAGGAATACATCTGTCGAAGCACTTATGTTCATCACTATCACAAGTCAAATCTGTTACTGTAATGTAAACACATTTGGTATATTTTATTTCTGGCAGTTATTAGCAATGTACACCTTTCAAATGTACCTATTTTTAAAAATTCCAATCCAAGCTTCCTCGCTTTGTATTGCTCTCTATACAACTAAAAAAGAAACGACTTAGAATAAGTCTAGTATATCTTATACAAAGTAGGCTATATTTATATTTAACCAACGACTGAACATGGTAGGTAATTTAGTGGCAATAGTCATCTTACCGAACTCGTCGCTACCATCACCACAGTTATCAAAGCCATCGTTAAGGAGAAAACTTGAAACACAACGCCTATTGTCACAGGCGAAGTCATCAGGCCAATAACAGCGGAAATAGAAATCTAAAAAAAAGGAATAGAAATTAATCACAATGTTTATAGATCTTAAGAAACCTCAAATATAACAGTATAATATAAATATGATTAGGCTTATATAAATTAAATAATAATAATAATAATAATAATAATAATAATAATAATATATTTACTAGATGCTAGTGCCATCGCCACGTGTGTGACCGCAATATTAGTATAAAAAAAATATATTCCGTTAAACGTCATCTGTGGTACAAAAGTTCAGTAAGTACATGTTCTTAGTATATAATTATTATAAATATGTACTTTTTTATATCTTACCACTTTGTGGCACAAATGTTGATATGGTCATTATAAAACCATAATGCTCGTGATTAAGGTAGTGTCCCAGCTTCAGATACATCGTAGTAGCTTCTGGCAGTACGTACTGCGACATGTAACTTAAACCACAAAATTTTTCTCTATTGCCAAACTGGAGGTAGCTGTGTTTACAGTCGGAATGCATCGAAAACTCGTCAATATTTACAAGAATTTGGTGACGAGAGGATGGTGGCCTCAAGTACACTTCACAATATACGTCGGCGGGCACATAGCTGGATGACTGTGATTTTAAAACCAATGTATCGGTTGTATTCAGATACAGAAACTTCGAACATTCGTTAAGCATATATTTCAGTCCTAAAGTTAGAAAAATAATGTAGGTATTTTCAAAATATAGTAAAATTCCATAATAAAATAATAATAGTTATTATCATGACAATAATAATATCATAATTATAAAAATAATAATATTAACAATAATATAACGGAGTCCTGTTATAAACACTTTTTAGTATATTATTTTATACAGTATATCGTCATTGTATCTAGATATCAATTTTGAGTACGTCTTCATATGTTTGTATTAATAATTCAATATAATGCTAAATCGGGTTCTAACCATATAATGGATAGATTTCCTGTTTTATTACCACTAATAAAAGAGGAATGAATACTATCAAACCCCAAAACCGCACAAGCAAATATTTAATATTTGAATAAAATGCCACGTGGTGTCTATGTTCAGAATTTCTACGAATAGGCAGCGCCTACTTGTACCTGAATATTCCGATGCCAGTTTCCTTTCATCCATGGTATCTAACTCATAGACATTATTTCTGATTTGTTAATATTTTAGATTTGTTAATTGTTTATGTATAAGTTTACTTTACTTTTTATTCTTGTAGCTCATGAGTGGTGTTTTGCCTTGCATGTGGGGGACAAAAAAAAAGATAACTTTCCATTTGAAAAATTAAAAATCGTTAAGGTGCTAAGCACGTGAAGGCGGTTTCTCCATGCGTCGCTCAGTACTTATAATAATTCCATGCGTATTTTAAACGATTGTCAAACAATATTCCAGATTACCTACCGGTACCTTAGCAAGCCCAACTTCATCTAATTAATTTCAGTGTTTTTACCTAAAACCTGGTCAGTCATTATTAACAGACAAGTTATAAAAGAGGGTTTTTATTAAATAAGTTATTTATCCACTGGAGAGCTAGATTCTTGTCAGGCCCGTAACTAGGGTTTTTTTTTTTTTTTTGGGGGGGGGTTCAAATTTGGAAAAATGGAGCCTTTTGAAGATGTTAACGACCAACAAATTGCGCTGACCACATAAATAAGAGCTAGCAAACGGCGGGGTTCGGGTTCGTCCGAACCCCCCGAACCCCCCCCCCCGGTTACGGGCCTGCGTGTTAAATGCATTTACGAATAAATGAAAAAGAAGAAATCCAAACAAGGTAAAGAATCGACAGAGTGACATATCTATCTGAAATTAGAGGAAGAAATTAAAAGCATTTCTTGTTGATTACAACGATTGCACTGAAAACACTGTAGCGACAATGTAGTGGATTTATGGAAACCAAGCTTTTAACAGACATCAAGTTGAACCACATAACGTACCTGTTTCACACCTTTTACCTGCAAACCCAAGTGGACAAATACATCTCCTTTGTGAGTAGTCACAGTAACCGCCATTCTTACACCAACTGGAATCATATGTACAATCTGCATAACCTAATGTCAAAATACAAATTAAAAAATCAACAATGGCTCTATATAATGTAATGGCTATACATATTAAATGGTTAAAGTATTATCGTCTCCGCTGCCACACCCTTAAACGTTGCAGATGTTGCCCCAATATCACCCTTAAATGTTCATCAAATGACCGTTCCACAAAAACCCTTACATATTGTTACTAAGGTAAAACATGGGTAAAACGACAGCGTCATGTACCGGTACGTCAACTTGTGTGTGTGTGTGGAACATGCGCGTATTCCTGATCCTACTTTGGTAGGTCAGATTTTAATTTTGACATTTTTGGAAAGGTCTATCATAAATAGCACAGGATTGTATGAATCGTCCCAAGATATGCTTGCCAGGGAACGCCAAGCGGCGAAGCTCATTTAGTCAGTACAGATTTTTTTTAAAGTATAAACAAACAAAATCGACATAACAAAACAATAAAATTCTACAACAATAATATTCTAAACAAATAAGATACATATTACCGGTAATGAATATATTAAGTATGTTGTGATGTCAGTGAACCAGTTTCTGTAGAGAATTTTCTGTGAATTATTACAAATCATAATTTACACATCTAGTAATGATGGAGTTGATTTTGTTCAGTCGTAAAGATAATATTGTACAACGTGCTGAATCGAGCATTAGCAACGGCAGTGAAATCGTATAAATCAATACAAGTTATTGATCTTTTGTAAATATGGCGAAGACAGCAAGGCTCCACTAAAATTGGTCATTCATTCATTCATTCATATTCCTATTCTTATAAAATAACAATCAACAAGGTTTAATACAATATGCACCTTCTTTTTTAGATGATAACAATGCAGAAGTACGAACGTTTAAAAACATCGTCACAAATGAAACCCGCCTATGAAATGTATGTATGAACATAGCCTATGATAGCTTGATTATTTTATTAGACCTAGGCCTATATATATATATACAGCACGTTCTCGGAGATTACAATATGAAATCAGGTGGCCCATCAATCAGTGCCCGTCAGACAGTGCGTATTAACAATACAGTTATGCTTCAGCGGACAACAGGTTAAACATTCGATGTGTGCTTTTGTGTCTAGGCCTACAGGTTAAGACTACACGGAACATGACTTCCATTAAAATAAACTATTTTTATTTCCTTATTATCTTTTAGTGGACGTTCATTCTGGTTAATTCGTACAGTCCAGCCTAGATGGATACTATGCACGTTTTAATTAGTGTATGTTGCTTGCGATACTAATAATAGTATATTATACAATACTAACCACGTTTATTTCAGAATCGGATACAATTTATACTGAACAACATCCTATAATAATAACTAGATATTATTATACAAACTAATTAGAGTATACTTGTCTAGTAGGCTGTGTGTCCCCCTCCTTTTTTCTAGTCTTCCAGTGGAATATGTATTTTGTGCTGAATGAATATTCATAGGTACATCCGAGCATGGAAAATATTAATACAGTATATTTAATATTTTCTTCTATGATCCGAGTAGATACCTTATAGCTGCCTGTTAATTAGTGTATTATACAATTATTATACAGTTCATTTTCTGAACCGACACTATAATAATAGCTTGACATTATTGTACAATTACTGTAAGTTCAAATAGTAGGCTTTGTGTCTCCTCTTCCCCGCCCCCTCCCCGCACTTATTTTAGTCTTCAGTGGAGAATGGTCTCTAAACCTTACTTGGAGTCCTCTAATTATTTATTTCCTGGAGTCCCCCACCCCCTCCTTACACTCTTCCAATGGAGAATTGTCTCTAAACTTCACTTGAAGTCATCTAATTATTTATTTCCTGGAGCGCCCCCCCCCCCCCCACCTTTCTTTTTTCTTTCAGTCTTCTAGTGGAGAATGGTCTCTAATCTTTATTTCCTGGTAGAGTTGGTTTAGGCATACGTTAAAATTGGAAGGTCTGTTTATAAATTTTAAAATATATTTTTTAGATATCAATACATATTCAAACTGGGGAGAGAGTGCAGAATTCGCAACAGGAAATCAAAACAACCACCTTCTCATTAAATACAAACTCCGATCTAAATTGTTGTCCGCATTAAAAAGTGTGTACTTATTCTCTTCTATCTAGAATTCCAAACAGTAGGCCTATAACAATATACTCATACTTACAAATATTAAATACTGCTAGGCAGACGAAAAATACGGAGAGCGGAACGATAGTACAGACCCTCATAGTCATCACTGATAAAGGTAGGCCTAATAAATCGGTTTTCGCCCTTCTTCTCCGAGATTAAATCTAACTTTGACCAACAAAGAACCTAACGCTTCATTTGCTTTACGTATTTATGATGAATAACTATCTGCCATTGGTGTTTGCCAACCAAACAATACATTGCCAAGTACTCTCGATGTTATGCTCTATCATGCATCCATAGATTATGGCCTATTCATTAGATACCCTTTGCATATTAACAAAATAATGACGTCATAGGATGACGTTATTTAGAATAGCAATAGAATCTATAATTATTATCAACAAAGACAACTAGTAATTTTATATAATCAGTTGCTTTTTAAATATTGGGTAATTATTAATAAATTGCCAGATGTTTATTATGTTCTTCCTTAGGACAAAATAAGGAAGACAGCGTTTTGAATAACCAATCATAAATTCTGAATAGCTGGGCGATCTGAGTAGGAGGCCAAATGCAGACTGGGCGTATCATATAACGGTTTTGTAGTTATATATCAATAAGAAAAAAATAAAATACGCTATGATTATTATAATTATTGTTAATTACTATTTTCGTTATTATGTTTGTAATGTTATTCTCGTTATTATGTCTCGTTGTTATTCTTGTACTAAGTATTGTGGTACTGGTACTGAAAATGTAGGCCATACTGAAAGTGATTAATCTCAGATAAGATAGTATAATACATACTCCAAGCATGGAGAAAATAATTTATTAAAAATATAAATAATATTTTATTTTCTCCATGCTCCAAGTATCGAAATGCACGCTTCGTGTCGGGATTCAATATTTTGACATTAATTAGGTCATCATCATAATTAATGACGAAATATTGAATCCCGACACGATTGCATGCATTTCGATACTTGGAGTATGTATTATACGATTTTAGGCTATACTGGTGTTGATGTTAGTACTCATACTGATGTACGTTGGAACTGATATTGATACTAAGGAGCTTTCTTTGTTTAGGTAGCTTTGATCAGGTAGCTTTGATCAATAGATCTGAGATTAATCAGTGGGCCTTTCGATATTGATACTGGTATTGATATTGATATGTTATTGATGCCCATAATGGACTGAAGCTCTTACAGGTACTGATATTGATGGTACTGATGCTCATACCGGTACGAATATTGATATTGGTACTGATGCTTATACTGGTACTAATATTAATACTGGTACTTATCATCAGTGTCAGTATTAATATCATTGATAATATTACTGGTTATACTGATGCTCATACCGGTACGAATATTGGTACTGATGCTTATACTGGTACTAATATTAATACTGGTACAGTTTCAGTATTAATATCATTGATGATATTACTGGTTATACTGATGCTTATACCGGTACGAATATTGGTACTGATGCTTATACTGGTACTAATATTAATACTGGTACTTATCATCAGTTTCAGTATTAATATCATTGATAATATTACTGGTTATACTGATGCTCATGGTACTGATATTGGAACTGGTACTGATGTTCATTCTGGTATTGATAATGTATACCTACGACCGTGGGTCACGATCCTAAGTTTTGTCGCCGTGGCAAAGTTTTGAGGGTGGCCAGATAGAATCTGGGTCTCAAAAAATAAGGATTTCATAAGTGTTGCAATTAATAACAAATTAATTGATTCATGTGAAAACATTGAACGACAACTTCTTATGAAGTGTTTTATAATAAAATGGCTATTTCTTCAAATTTGTGTTAAATAGCTTAGAGTTATGAATTCTTGTGTCATTCTCAACAAACAAATGTTGTTGCAAGACATTATAGTGTTTCAGTATATTATTCTGTAGGCCCCATATCTGGTTTTTGATACATTTCTAAGGGTGGGGTAGCCTAATTGGCGGCATTGGGTCGTGGAAAGTTATGGCGATTTTTTGGGTCCTAGAGGGTAAAAGGTTGCCAACCGTAGATGTAAAGACCGTCATATTATTCATAGTAGGGCCTACTGATGCTAGTATAACTGGAATCATACCAGTTTTTATATTGATACTGGTACTTTGCTAATACTGTAACTGATGCTCATAGTGATAATGTCTTATTTTTCGCTAACATAAAGTGAGGATAATAGGCAGAAACATGGTTTGATATATAGTGAACCATTAGTTGACTGTGGGTTTGTTGCCCAGACGAAATATGCAGAGTCCGGGTTTTTTTTTTCAGGATATCGTCATAAATTTGTGGTATCATGTGGTCATATCTTTTAGGCGTTGTTATTAACAATAACCAAGGAAGCTATTGAAATCAAATTACACGTGACGCTAATAATGTTATCAGGTGAAATGTCCGGTACGCCACAGAGTAGCGGTACCAGTTTGAAGAACCCTTTACAAGTATTTCCTAATTATGATATAATATAAAATAATATAATAATAATAATAAAAATAATATATATATATATATATATATATATATATATATAT